TCAGTCGCAGTCATCAATCGCACAGGACACTCACATCTGTAATTCGGCATCCAAACATTCTGTCACTCGGTAACTGAATCATCATCCTCAATCTCATCACTAATAGACTTGCTCTTCAAGCTCAATATCAGTTGCATCACACAATAATCTAACATATTTGTCATATTCATCTGAGTTTATATACCAGTCAAAGCCGCTTACTTCATTTACTATACAGTGCACATTCCCTTTTGAACTGACCGTATCCACTGACTGATTTTCATTTATCTGTAGATGAGACTACTCATGACCACCATAATCCGTGAAATACCAATGATCATTCGCAAGGTAATTTATCCTCCCTTGAATGTAATGCACTGCACACGTCTACTTTATCCGTCTGGCTTGCTTATTCACTCATCATATACATACCATCTCAACCACTCACTTTCTCACTCATTCATTCATTCATTTATCACACACCTACTTACAAACACAAACATTCATTCACTCGATATTCGCTCTCCCGTTACCCATCTTCGTCCCTGCACAATGGACTCGCAGTAGACACAATCGCCGAGTCAACATGTCAGTGTGCCAGTCAAATTATCATACAGTCGGTCGACCAGCCGACCACACACTCACTCAATCGCGATTCGTCTGACACTGCCAGTCTGCCTCCATCACTCGTGGCAGCTGTGTACTAGTCATCGATTCGACGACAGATTCACACATGCATTACTTCATTCACACTACTATCAGTCCTACACTCCTACAGTTAAGTGATGTTGTCTAACGAACATTGATTCATATCTTCAATGGTAGAAGCATTCAATCCATTTTGCTTAATGAGCGAAAAGGAAGGTAGACAAATAGTAAGGACGGATTTACTTATGAATCAGGTGATCTGCAGGGCTGTTCAGTGAATGAGGGCATTTGCCATCATGTAATTGTGGGATGGTATTTCAACAAGTTTCTAAAAATAAGCTTTATAATTAAAGCATTGTATCGGATGATCTCAAATGGTTATTTGCAACCTTAATAAACTTCAGCAACTGTACCGTAGTCTCCGAGGTGAGTTGATATGTGAATGGGTGATGCTGGTTTTTGGAAGAATATACTTTCCTCCCCTGAAACTCCTATAGAGCCAACAATACGAAGTCACACTCTGATCCCATTTTACTGTCCTTTCCATTATTTTCTCACTCTAGTGTTTGAAACGGGAGCTCATTGGGTGACAAATACTCAAGCAAAATAAATCTCGTTTGCGTTGTAAGGAGAGTCAAGTTAAGTCATCACATGAGCCATAAGTTAGGTTTCGAAATAGTATGTCGTACGTTGATTTGTTTCAATGTGAACTTACTCATTTTTCTGAAAATTAACTTTTTTCTCTCCCCACTATCTTCCGTCAACATGCAGGTACGTGTCTATGTACAACTGAAAGTAAATCTCGTTTAATCAAAACATAAATCCTAGATTGACTGTATCATATGGAGACCTGTTAATTGTTATCGTTGCCATTTCTTCAGATATCTCGAATAATCTATCGCGCCTATTATCTCTGTTTCCTCTCCGTTGCTTACACTTCGGTCCCCTCTCACAATCTTCACAACCATTTAAAGAACTAATCATCTATTACTTAGTTCTGAAATTCTATTCATATTAGCATTAGAATTTTATCCCTATTATCCTTATTACTCTCTACATTGCAACTAACTGATCTCCGGTCAGGTAATGTGTTACCTGATGGTATTGAGAAACCCTAATGTCCTGAAACAAACTTATTCTTTCGAACCACGGGACATACATACAGTAGGCGAAGAAGCTTAATATGTTAACAGTATGAACGGTGAAGACCATACTAAGCTAGAAAAGGCTGCGATCTTCAAACAAACTCTACTGATCAGTCAACTCAGGCATCCACATGTGCAGAATACTACGCAAACCCAGTGGAAGCTGACGGCTTAGGGAATATCCACATCACTCATGAATCAGTACTAAAGAAAATATAATCCTTATGCTCAAGAAATTCACCAGGTTGTGCCAATATTCACCTCATAATCTTGAAACAACGTGCAGAAGTCCTCTGTTCACCGATATGTGACCTGTTAAAGCATTCATTGAAGTCTCACCAACTCTCTCTAATCTTCATAGCGTGAGATTGGACGGAACTGGTCTGATACAGACTTACCATTACCATCAAAGGTTCTATTTCTAGACTATGAAAAAGCATTTGACACAGTAATCCCTACACGCCTAATTGCAAAGTTTGAGGAAATGAGCTGCTGCTGCTGATATTCAGAAACCCTACTGTCTTGAAACAACCGTTTTCATTCAAATCCTGAGACATACAATCTCACAACCAACTGCCAACTTACGAGAATCAGACACTCGAGTGACTAGACCTCCATTCATTGGACAATACCGAACACCTGGAACCGAATCGAGCGCGAAGAAATCGATTGGATTACACTATCTCGTGAAAAAGATATTGGATATATTGGATACTGGATAACTCCGCCAGTATAACTTTCGGGGCTACTGCCGGTCCCAAGCCCGGAAAGAGGAGGAGGGTTGGACAAGGGGTTGACGAAGTCATTCCGTCGAAATCTAACCAAAAAAATAATCCAAACAATTTTAACTCTGCCCTGAGAGTTGGAAGAACAATTATGACGTCGCGTGACGAAAGCCGAGTTCCCTCGGAAGTCACGGGGCCGATGACTTTTCTCACAACCAGAGTAACCATTTTTTAGGTACGTGGAACGTTGGTACATTGTAGGAGACTGAAAGACTATTTCAAGTTGCGGCAGAAATGAAAAGATACAACCTCGAGGTGGACACAGGTAGGACAACTGAGACTAGCTTCAGGGGAACTGCTGTTATACTCTGGTTATGTGAATGTGGTCACTATTGATCTCGGCCAATCGCCAATAGAACCTATTGTGCACCTTCCTCATTTGTACTCTAATATTGAAAATGTGGCTGTATAATACTGTTTCTGTCAGTGATATGGTGTAAATATGCAATCAGAAACTGTCTCTTATACTTAATTTAACTGCTATAACTTTTACAGTAATTGTAAAAGCATTTGTGACAATTTGATCTAGCCTGTAAACTGGCGTGACTCTTGTAACTTAGTTATTTGAGAATAAATTAATATTATTATTATTACTATTATTATTATCTAGCAATGACGGCGGAAAAGGCTGCAAGAGACGGAAACTTGAGACAATTGTACGAAACAACAAAGAAGCTCGCCAGGAACTATCGTAATCTAGAAGGACCAGTGAAAGGCAAGGAAGGGAAAATAATCAGCAACACTGAAGAACAGCGAAATAGGTGGGTAGAACACTTTAAGGAACTATTGAATCGACCAGCTCCACTGAACACACCCAACATCGAAGCAGCATTCACGGTCCACCCAATTAATAATGGCTCACCAACGATTAAGGAGATCAGTATGGCCATCAGACAAATCAAAAACGGCAAAGCAGCAGGACCAGACAACATTCCAGCAGAGGCAATGAAAGCAGATGCAGAGGCAACTGCGAAAATATTTTACAACCTCTTCAAGAAGATTTGGGGTGAGGAACAAGTACCATTAGAGTGGAAGGAAGGATACCTGATCAAAATACCAAAGAAAGGCGATCTGAGCAAGTGCGAGAACTACAGAGGCATCACTCTTCTTTCAATACCAGGCAAAGTCTTCAACAGGGTATTGTTAAACAGAATGAAGAGTTTCGTAGACACCCAACTTCGAGATCAACAGGCCGGATTTCGTAAGGATCGATCGTGTGACCAAATCGCTACATTACGGATCACTGTGCAACAATCGATTGAATGGGACTCACCACTCTACATCAACTTCATCGACTACGAGAAAGCATTCGATAGCGTAAAACAGAAAAACACTGTGGAGGCTTCTTCGACACTATGATGTGCCTGAGAAAATAGTTGACATCATACGGAATTCTTATGATGGATTCAATTGCAAAAATCGTGCACGAAGGACAGCTAACAGACTCTTTCGAGTTGAAGACCGGTGTGAGGCAAGGTTGCTTACTCTCGCCCTTTCTCTTTCTCCTGGTCATCGACTGGATTATGAAAACGTCGACATCTGAAGGAAAGCAGTAGGTCTCAACATACATAAAGGAAAAAGCGAAATTCTCCGATGCAACACAACATGCACCAGCCAAATCACTCTTGATGGAGATGCCTTAGAGGACGTTAACAACTTTACATATCTGGGCAGCATCGTCGACGTGATAGGTGGATCGGATGCAGATGTGAGGGCGCGGATTGGCAAAGCAAGGGCAGCGTTTCTACAGTTGAAAAATATCTGGAACTCCAAACAACTTTCAACCAAAACCAAAATCACGATTTTCAATACAAATGTCATGACAGTTCTACTGTATGGGGCGGAAACCTGGAGAACTACGAAAGCCATCATCCAGAAGATATAAGTATTTATTAACAGTTGTCTACGCGAAATACTTCGTATTCGTTGGCCAGAAACGATCAGCAACAACTTACTTTGGGAGAAAACACACCAGATTCCAGTGGAGGAGAAAATCATAAATAAGCGGTGGAAGTGGATAGGTCACACACAGTGAGAAAAGCACCCAACTGTGTCACAAGACAATCCCACACATGGAACCCTCAAAGTCAAAGGAAAAGAGAAAGGCCAAGGAACACATTACGCCGAGAAGTAGAGAAAGATATGAGAGGAATGAACGAACATTGGACAGAACTGGAGAGGGAAGCCAAGGACAGAGTTGGCTAGAGAAAACTGGTGAGCGGCCTATGCTCCATTGTGGGGTAACAGGCGTAAGTAAGTAAGTAAGGATATTGGATACAAACTCACAAAAGCTGCCAACTGACTAGAATTAGTGCAGGCAAAAGGCTATGTCACTAATGGTCGGATACTATTATATACCTATAACTCTGTTTAAAGAACAAGAATCGATCACCAAGAAATCAGTTGATTTTGTCACCTTGAGAAAAAGATATTGTACAACGTAGTGAGCTCGGAGCTTGAAACGGTTCAGGGTCAAGGTCACAGAGCATGGCTAAAAGGGGTGGGAGTGTTCCTGTCACTGAAGATGAGGAGGATATTTACGATCCTAAAAACAGGGGATTTTGTCGTGCATGTGTTGACTTGTCACATTTCGGTCTGACAAAACGAAAGGAAGTCGTATCTAAACCGAGTGTAGGTATGTCTTTTCAATGCATCTTTTTAATCCTTATGGTACTATTCATTGTGTTTTAAGACATAACTCCGAACTCATACTCCTCTGTACTAAATAAAGTCTAGACAGATTGTTTAAGTGATTGAACTACTTCAGTGTGCTTTTCATATCGAGGGGTACCACTCTTTTGTAAGCGAAATGAGGATTTCTTTTTTACTTATTCATTCAGAATAAAAATATACTTATCGCTAAGAAAGACTATCGAAATATTGGTGTATCACACAAATCATCAAATTTTTCTGTGAGTTGTCTGTAATACTGATCGAGTCTCCAACTTAAAACAGGTGGTTATCTTCGGAGGCCACTCAGTGAGCCTTTAACTTAGATCTCTGTTCCACAAGACGGTACAGTAACGTCAGATGTGTACAAAAGTTGTGTTTACGGCGCTCCAGCTATGCATTAGTTATCGACAATTATGCTCAGATAACCATCTCTCTTTAGTAGGCTCCGACTTTTAATTTATGGAAAACCACCGTTTGCCATCGCGAACCTTAAGATTGACTCAACGATAAGCTCAGGTAGATCACACTGCCATGGTTGAAGAAGCTCGATAGAGGACTGCCACTTATATTGGAATACATGCATATACTCGGCTCTAGTACAATTATATAATTGTCTGCATCTTGCTAGGCAAAACAAGGATGTCGAAAAACCCCTTAGAATTGATTTAAAAGACAAAAGCACATTTCAGGGAGAACTAGGAAACTGTTAGTCAACCGTTGAAGTGATGTTTACTCTGAAATAGCTTGTAAGGATACCCGAAACGCTGCAAAACAACAGTGGTATCGACGATTCTAGTAAATAATGTATTTCAGCGATATGTGCTTCATTGGTAGATGCTTAGAAACTTATCCCGTCAAGCTTTAAGCGAGATCAGAAGCAGAAGTATTTTAAACGCAGGCCGATTGAAAGCTTATCGAATGACTGTAATCAACGGTGTATCAAGAAAACAATATATTTGCAAAAGCTACTGGTGATGTTACTGTTCAGAGCTTGGTAGATTAACCTCTGTTGTTTTGAAAGTTGGTAGTGCAGCTGCAACTGCCAAATTGAGTAAGATCTTAGCTAGAATATTCTATATGAATGTGATCTTACCTGTATAACTTCGACCAGCGAACCGTATAACCGGTTAAAAAGGTAAAATATCGTGATAACCACAGAGGATTCATGGAAATCATAAACCGCTGTTCGGAAACTGGATGCAATGGACGTCTAATTCATCCTAGTAATCACTTTATCAGAAGTATCTATCCGTGACCACTGAAGCAGAAGTTGTGCTCAAGACTCTATCAATCAATTCACGATATTAAGTTAAACAGTCACTCTGTTGGATGCCATCTCAGTTGTTTGAAGATTAAGCACTCGTGCCTAAAACCGAAGGTCCGAAATTCCGTTTCCGCCTATGTAGACTCCAATACAAGGATGAAACAGCCATCCAGAATTTCCACGTTTCCAATAATGGTGTAATATTAATCAGTTTATAGTTTGTTTTTTTAGTGAAATAGTTTCAATTGTTTCTCAATATTCATCTTGTTATATAACTAATCACATTAATTATGCTTTACATAATTCTCTTTGTTTTACACACGCACATACACAGAATGTCCACCGGATAAAATTGAACTTGGAAAAGCAACATGGACTTTTTTGCATACAATGGCAGCATATTATCCTATTAAACCAACAATAAAACAACAAGAAGATATGAAAAAATTTCTATCAATCTTTCCTCATTTCTTTCCTTGTCGACCGTGTGCATTTGATTTTGAGTCTAGTAAGTAGAATATATTGTTTTATTTTTAAAAAAAATTACTTATTTACGCCTGTTACCCCCAATGGGGCATAGGCCGACCACCAGTTTTCTCCAATCAACTCTGTCTTAGGCTTCCTTCTCCAGTTCTGTCCTATGTTTGTTCATTCTTCTCATGTCTTTCTTTCTCTGTTTCTCGGCGTAACGTGTTCCTTGGTCTTCCTCTTTTCCTTTGACTTTGAGGGTTCCATGTGTGGGATTGTCTTGTGACACAGTTGGGTGCTTTTCTCACTGTGTGTGACCTATCCACTTTCACCGCTTATTTATGATTTCCTCCTCCACTGGAATCTGGTTTGTTCTCTCCCACAGTAAGCTGTTGCTGATAGTGTCTGGCCAACGAATCGGAAGTATTTGCATTTATGTATATATATGCGATTCTACTCTATTTATCCTACATCTAACAGTGATGTCAGTGAATAGTTGGTTTGAAGGGATCAATTGAAGTTTAACCGGACCACCCCCTCAGTGTATAGAAGAAATATGAATGTAGAACGAAACTGCAGTGACTTTATCTTTATTGCGGCGAAATAATACAAAAGTGGTTTACATTTAACGTGTTAATAAGTTTCATTGGTCCTTTCTATACGGTTCGAAATTGGGGAGAGGGAAATCCATTGTGGGCAGTTGTAAAAATCCTGATTTTAAATTCATGTGATACATATGTACTACAGGATCCTGAAAGAACAAGTGATAGATAAATATGATTGTCTGTCATCAACTACCCCATTGAGTTACATTCTTCAATGTTGCTGTACATTGTCTTGTAGATTTTAAGCTCTAAGTTAAAGTCTCAGTCTGTAACCATTTGAGAAAATCAGCTGTTACAGTGTAGGGATCCGGTCAATAGTATTTCAACTCATACACACGAAAATGCAATCATTTGTACAGAGTGCTGAAATATTTCGATGCCTCTTTGTTCCAGTAATTCAGTTTGATCTCAATGATAAATCGAACACTGTTAGACTACCATTGGATATTTGAAAACACTAGACGGTACTATGACGTTTCAAGTGGGAATCGAGCGCAGTACCTTTGGTCGGTTAAACGACGATATTGATTCGAGTTGGAAAAACAATACAGTTGAATACCAACTCACTAGTGTAAAGTTTGTACACTCGTACATGAGAACAGACATCTTGGGTCCGACCTGTTAATGTTGGATTTTTGATTCACTGTACAGATCAGCCCCATACTAGAACGAAACAGCCGTCCAGTGCTGCCAGGTTTTCAGTCGTAGTCTAACATTGGTCGGCTGGTAATTTCAACAAAAATTTACCGTTTGTATATCGATTATTCTTGAATACTTCGAACTACCAAAAGCATGTCTACCATCAAGCAAATAAACGGCCATCATCCTGTTTAAATTTTAATTCCAATTGCTTGTAAGGATTTCTTTTGTCTAGTGTAAGCAGTTAAACCTTCTTTCCTCTTCGTTTGAAATGAGAAATTCATTGTAAATTGGTAAATTGAAGATAACAACATCAAATGAAAATCTGTCCAAATATTTTGTCTCAATTTTATTATAATTTGACTGGTTGGGATCTGCGAGACGAAAGTCACCATTGGTTAGATAGGTACCTTGAACGATGTGGCTCGAAATCGTTTGTAATGGCGTCGGTGCATTCATTCTTTGTGTTCTCTGAAATTCTAACCTTCTGAATTACTCACCATCGCAGTCTTTCGCTTTCTAAATTTATCAGTCAGTCAGTCAGATGAAACGTAGAACTACGTACATAAGCACATCAGTTCATGTTGCCATACCACATTAGCACAGAGATATAATTGTCAATTCAAATCCAATAGTAGTAGAGGTAGTAAAGGTATTAGAAGTAATCGGAGAGGTTAGGATTAGTAGATATTATTCAAGAAGTACGGTTCAGTGAAATAAGTTTAGAAATACAAAACTGGAGGTTTAGAAGATTCTAGAAGATTAGGATTTGAGAGAACACAAAGCGTAAATGCAACGGCGCCATTCCAAACGGTTTTGAGCCATATCATTCAAGGTCTTTAACCATCGATTATTATAATCTCGCGGACCCCGACCAGGTAGTCTACATCTACCAACATGACTCAGTCCACTTGTCAATGACTTCATGGATTTGTGCCATGTTTTGGTCTGTTCGCCCCTAACTTTCTTCCAACCTACTCCTTTACTAAAAAACAAAGCTCGTCGAGGCATACGGTGGTTAAGCATACGCAGCGCATGTCCCAACCACTTCAACTGATGAAGTTTCATTACTTCATCTATTGATCTACTCCGGTAGCTCAATAGGTCAGAGCGCCGTACTTATAATACTTCCACTATCGCTATCACTATTGGATTTGAACTGACAGTTGTATCTCTGTGCTAATACGATATGGCTACTTGAACTGATGCACTTATGTACGAAGTTCTACGTTGTAACTGACCGACTGAGAACCTATGTGTTAGGATATTCATCCAATATCCTAAAAGAATTATTGGTCAAAATTATGGTCGTTTTAACTGTCAAAGTCAAATACTTCAATGTCTCTTATTGGTCATCCGGACTGTCAATGTCGCTTCAAATGTTACTTCCTATTGCTCGTCTTAACTGTCAATGCCACAAAATTCGATGCTGTTTCCTATTCGACCAAAATGTATATATACGCATTATCTGTAACATTTTATGACCAAGACCAGGACCGGGGCTCGGTCCCGGATCCGTAGTCCGGGATCCTGATTCTCTTCTGGACTCGGACCTCGTACTTTCTGGATGCTTGTAGAATACAGGTTCTATTTCATATCAAGTCTTGTCATCTTATAATGGAGGTTGGGATAATCGGATTTGAGTAGCATGTCGTGTCGCAGGATCCTCGACCAACGCTCTCGTTTTCCGACTAGGTCAACTCGTAATAGTTCAAGTATATCAAGTTGACGTTGTTACGTGTGGGCGTAACACTATAAAATGAAAATTGACACATTATATAATCATTTTTTATTAATATAACGAAGTGTTTTTCTCTCTCTCTCTCTTCCTCTCTGAATACACACACACGCAGATCTCATTTTGCATCCACCGAAATTGGAAAGTCGACATGCATTCAGTGGATGGTTATGTATGCAACATAATTTAGTCAATAAGAAACTTGGTAAACCATTATTCGATTGTACTTATGTATTGGAAAGATGGCGATATGGTTGGAAAGATAATGATGATTGTAGACTACCGGATCAACAAGAATCATAAAATGCTTTATGATTAGTAAATTTTGTAAAAAAATAGTTCATATCTTTTGCAATTTGCGCAGGTGTGTATTATTATTCATTCTGTGTGTTCTCTCTCTCGAATCTTCATCACTTTTATCTTTTTCTGTTTAAGTTTATTTCACTAACCTTAAAATTTCCGATTACTACTAATACTTTTACTATCTCTACTACTATGCGATTCGAGCTGACAATTCCATCTGTCTGTGCCAATATGTGTCAAATGGCAACTTGAACTGATGTATGTACTGACTGATTGATCGTGTCTATGTGTTTAGTTACTTTTTAGGTTAATAATCATTGTTTTCCCATTCTTTCTCTCTACAATTTTTATCTCTTTTTTACCGATGTTTATTTTGTAGTATTTCCCTGCTGTTGCTGTTGCTACTGATAAATAATTATGAGTAGTTTAAAAAAAAGTGTACACCACTCATGGTGTGTATAGAAGAAGAGTTGGAATTTGTTTTATTGATGCTTTTTTGTTATATATTTGAAAAAAAAAACTAGAAAAATGCATTTTAGCTTACTTAATTACTTGCTTACTTACTTACGCGTCTTATTCCCCAATGGGGCATAGGCCACTGACCAGTCAGTCAGTCAGATGCAACGTAGAACTTCGTACATAAGTACATCAGTTCATGTCGCCATACCACATCAGCACACACAGATGTAATTGTCAATTCAAATCCAATAGCAGAAGAGTTAGTAAGGGTATTAGAAGTAATCGGAGAGGTTAGGATGAGAAGATATTATTCAAGAAGCATGATTAAATGAGAAAAGTTTAGAAAGTCAAAACTAGAGGTGTTGGAGAATCCAGAAGAATAGGATTTGAGAGAACACAAAGAATAAATGCACCGGCGCCATTGTGAACGATTTTGAGCCATGTCATTCAAGGTCTCTAACCATCGATTATTATCATCTCGCGGACCCCAACCAGGTAGTCGAAAATTACCGACACTGCTAAGTCCACTCGTAAATGACTTCATGGATTTCTGCCATGTTTTGGTTTGGCCGCCCCTAACTTTCTTCCAACCTATTCCTACACTACAAAACAAAGCTCGACGAGGCAGTCGGTGGTTGGGCATACGCAACACATTTCCCAACCACCTCAACTGATGAAGTTTCATTACTTCTTCTATTGATCTGCCATTCTTACCTAGCACCCGATTCCTAATAACAGCGTTGCTCACTCGGGTGTCCCAGGATTTGCGAGCGATGCTTCAAAAACACGTATGATCGAAAACCAGTAACCTACGAATATCTTCTACTCTCACTGGCCATGTTTCACAGTCATAAAGTAAGACGGAACGAACTACTGCGCAGTACACTCGTCCTTTAGTCAGCAAACGGATATCTCGCCTACGCCATAAGTGACGCAGGTTGGCAAAAGCCAATCGAGCCTTCTGTATCCGTGCTGAGATTTCGTCAGTCACCAGGCCGTCAGCACTGATGAGACTCCCCAGATAAGTGAAGCGGTCTACTCGTTCGACTACTTCACTCTTTATCACTAGTTCAGGTGCCGATAAAACCCAATCTTGAAGCAACATTTTGCATTTCGAGGGGGAAAACCGCATCCCGAACATCCTTGCATTGTTGCTTAGGGTAGTCAGAAGACTGCATTTTGTCAGCGTCTTCACCAAGTAGGACAATGTCATCGGCATATTCTAAGTCAATAAGCGAGCTAGCAGGTAAAAGGTCTCTCCTGAAAATTCAGACGAGGATAAGGTTATTTCTAGGAGCATGTGTATGATAATATTAAACAAGAATGGAGAGAGTGGACATCCCTGACGGACACCACTTGAAGTAAAGAATTCCATTGACAGTTCGCCACTGACCTGCATTCTTCGACCTACTCCGTCCTGGGCCTTCCTTTCTAGTTTTATTCTGTAGTTTGGGAGTACTCCTCCTCACTTCCAGCGCTTGTTGATTTCTTCCTCCGCTAGGATCTAATTTTTACTCTCCTACAGTAGGTTTTTGCTGATGGTGTCGGGCGAATCGATCCGCAGTATTTTGTGTTAGACAATTGTTAAATAACATTTGTTACTTCCGGATGATGGCTATCATAGTCTTTCTAAGTTTCCGCCCTATACAGTAGAACTGTCTTGACATTTATGTTGAAAATTCTGACTTTGGTTTTGGTTGCTAATTGTTTTGAGTTCTTCATGATCTTCACTTACAGGAATGCTGTTCTTGCTTTGTTCATCCGTGCCTTCACATCCACCTATCCATACATTTAAAGGGTTTTACATTTTCCAAAGCTTCATCGTCAAGCGTGAATTGGTTGGTTGATGCTTTGTTGTATCGAAGAGTCTTGATTTTCCATTTGTGTATGTTGAGACCTACAGCTGCTACACTGGTCGTATTCTCTTGCTTTTCTTGTTGCGTATGACATAAAATAGCCAGATCATCTGCGAAGTCTCGATCATCCAACTACATCCTAGCTGTTTACTGCATCTCGTTCTTCCCTCTAAATGATTATTTCTTCACAATCCAGTCGATCATCAGGAGAAAGGGTAAGAGTAAGCATTCTTGCCTTGCACTGGTCTTCAATTTAAACGAGTCTGTGAGCTGTCTTACATACACGATGTACAGTCCAATCCATCATAAGAATTCTGTATGATATTGATTATCTTCTCAGGCGCATCGAAGTGTCAAAGAATCCTCCATTGTTTTGTCCTGTCCACAGTATCAAATGGAATAGTCAATTCCATTCAATTGACTGTTCCACAATAATCTGTAATGTTGCAGTTAAGTCGGTACACGAACGGTCCTTAGGAAATCCAGCCTGTTGATGTCGAAGTTGGGTATCTACGGAGTTCATTCTGTTTAGCAACATCCTGTTCAAGATTGTCTGGTATTGAGGAAGAGTGATATATCTCTGGTTCCCACACATGCCTTGATCGCCTTTCTGTGGTATTTTGATCAGGTTTCCTTCTTTCCAGTCTGCTTGTACTTATTCTTCATCCCAGATCTTGAATAGAATGTGGAGTAGTTTGCAGGTGCTACTGCGTCTGCTTTCAGTGCCTCATCTGGAATGTTGTCTGACCTCGCCGCTTTGCTGTTCTTGATTTGTTTGATGCCACTGCTAACCTCTTCAGTCGTTGGTTGGCTAAAATTGATTGGGAGGTTCGTAGGTGTTGCTTCACTGTTATGTGGGTCTGGTCAGTTTAAGAGTTACTTAAAGTGCTCTACACACCTCTCTTGCTATTCTGCAGTGTTGCTGATTACTTCGCCTTCCTCGCTTTACACTGGTTGTTCTAGTCTGTGGTTATTTCCAGCGAGCTTCTTTGTTCTATCATACAATCGTATCAAGTTTCTTTCTCTTGCAGCCTTTTCCGCAGTGATTGCTAGATCTTCTACCTATTTAAGTTTGTTGGCTCTGATGCTTCTCTTCACTTGCTTATTTGCTTCTGTGTATTCAGCTTATGCCTTGGCTTTCTCTGCTGTAGTTCGGCTGATATTGATTGCTGTTGTCTTGCTCCTCCTTTCTTAAATCTTATTCAGTTTATAAGTAAGCATTGTTTCATTCGTTGTGATGGTGCTTCTTGTGGTCTAGAACCTCTTGATATGTTAAAGTTATTGCTTCCTTCATCATTTTTCAGTTGTGCTCCATGATAGTCTCCTTTTCACTGAGTAGGTCATGAAAAGCCTGGAATATATTGCTAAGGGCTATCTTGAATTCGTTGAGTTTGTCAGTATCCCACAGAAAGGCCTTTATTAAACTTTTGTGATGTTTGCCGTTCGGCTGACCACTGTCTTTTAAGTTTCATGTAGGCTACTAACAAGTAATAATCGGAGGCTATATCAGCTCCTCTTTTGGTTCTCATTTCCTCTATGGTCCTTCTTGTATTTTTATTGATTTGGTTTTATGTGTTGTGGTCTGGCTAAATACCTGTGGCTTTGTGTATGCGTTCATATGAGAATGTTATACCACCTATGACCAGTTGCTTGAAGGCATGTAGGTTTGTAGTTCTCTCACCGTTTTCGTTCCTGTCTCTCAGTCCATGTCATGTTATTCATTCTCATCCGAATGGCTAAGTCCTTTAACGGGCATGTTTTTGCTCGTAAAATGGTTCTTAAACGTCTTCATTGTAGTCATTGGTAGGCGCATAGCATTGGATGATGTTCATTGTAATCTCTTCTTTCTTTGTTTTTTCAAGGATGCTTCGATTATCTTTGGTTCATGTGATTCCTATCCTCTCAATGCCTTTTGTGCTTGTTTGGACAGTATTAGTGCCACTACTTGTGTGTGTGTATTAGGCATTTTCTTCTTCATTGCTGTAGTATAACAAGCAATTCTCCTGAATCTAGTCTTTGTTGTGTTTTACTGATTTCAAGGATCTCCAGGTTGTATGTTTTGATTCCTGCAGTAATATGGGTGACTCTGTCGCGGTCTCTCACATTGTAAGAATATTCCATGTACCTAAAATAATGATCGCTTAGGTTGTCAGAATAGGCTTTTGTAGGACTGCGCTTCTATCGTGGAACGTCATAAATCTTCGAAATGAAGACCTAACTTTCAGGATAGAATTTAAATGGTTTGAATTATTATTTCTGATAAGCGTTTTTTAACGAGTTACTTTACTACGAGATGGGATCGCTATCCGAATACCAATCCTACTCCTTTATCCGAAGTTGGAACTGGTAGCAGCTTTTGATAAGCTCCAGGTGGAGTTGCTACTTAGCAGCCGTTTACCAATTTTGTAGTTTGTATAGGAAGATCCATCGGCCAGCCAAAGTAGGAATATACAGCATCATGATTAGCTCTGTTCCACTTGATTATTGCAAAACGTGCCTTATAAGATTATTGAATATTTGTAGATTCCTAGGATCCGCAAGCAATACTGTCGTTAGGAAATGGGTGCTATGCAAGGATGGCAGTTCAATAGATGAAGTAATGAAACTTCATCAGTTGAGGTGGTTGGGACATGTGTTACGTATGCCTAACCACCGACTGCCTCGACGAGCTATGTTTTGTGGTGTAGGAGTAGATTGGAAAAAAGTTAGGAGCGGGCAAACCAAAACATGGCAGAAATCCATGAAGTCACTGACAAGTGGACTGAGTTATGTTGGTAGATGTAGACTACCTGGTTGGGGTCCGCGAGACGAAAGTCATCAATGGTTAGAGACCTTGAACGACATGTCTCAAAATCATTTGCAATGGCGCAGGTGCATCCACTCTTTGAGCTCTCTCAAATCCTAATCTTCTGGAGTTATCAGCAACTCTACCTTTGTCTTTCTAACCTTATCTCACTGAATTATATTTCTTGAATAATATCTTCGAACCCTAGTCTTCTTCACTACCATTAATACCTCTACTATCTTTATCACTATGGGATTTGATTTGACATTTGCGTCTCTGTGCTAATGTGGTATGGCAACATGAACTTATGTACATACGTACGAAGTTCTACGTTGCAACTGACTGACTATTAAGTAAGGATGACTAATAGGATAAAAGCTCTATTTCGGCTGAGGGTAGAAAATCCAGTCACGTAAGAAATGCTCTCATTTGGTCGTGTGTACAAATTTACGAA